AACAGATAATTATGTCACATTGATCGCATTATCATTTTTCAATAGAAATTTCTATATAAAAATTTAATTTATGAGCATTCATTACAAATGGAAAAAAATGAATGGCAATAAAAAAATTATAATAATAATTTCAAGATCAATTTTATCTCAACTTCAATATCAATTATTCATTTCCATATTTTAAAGCATGATTTGAGGAAACGAAGGTGATGTTGTGTTTGCTTTGGATTATTGACTAAGTGATTTGATGATTGAGGAAAGGATTTGGGTTGAAATGAGTGGATATTCTTCATAAAATGATCGAATTAATTTTATAAATTCAAAATTCATTGATAAATAATTCACATTTGAAGAAATGTTAATAAAGAAGGCGGTTAAATTCTATATTTTTACCATTTTGAACTCAAACCTTATTGGATGTTAAGCATTAATGATGAAAGTCTATTCTTGCCAACTTTTTAAAACTGCAGAAGAAACTTTAAAAGTACAAAACAATCTAATTTGAGAAATATTGACCAAAAACTTTTCGAAGTGAGAAAATTAGGAAAGGTCAGTAGCATTTAAGTTCGTTTTAATTAAACTGAGTTTGAATTTTTATTAACCGTTATGTGTCGTATTGGACTTGAACAGTTTTTAAAATAATTTTTTCATTTTTAAAGCAAAAATCACAGCAACAACTGCGCCTTGAATCCTAATACCTCCAATTCCTTCGCTGAATTCACATTATTTTATTTCTTCTTACTTCATTTCGACATATCGAAATAGAAAATAAAAACAGAACTGAAACATTGAGTCTGCTTCCTCATTAGCATTAAGGTGTACGTTGATTTAGCTTTAAATGGTAATCGAAATGGAATGCTGATAAATTGTACAAAATAAGCAAAATAATGAGATCGACTGCTTAATTTATATTTTTAAAACTTTGTCTGTCGGCAAAAAATTTATGTTGCATGCGCTCGATGAAATGCAAACATTTATATTAATGATTATAAATTCTTTTTTATGTAATAAAATAATTAAAGAATAGGTGTGAAGTTTACAATAATAATTATTGCTTATGTGCATTTACGCCAATTATAAATGAATTTATTTATACGAGAGAAAATGCTTTATTTTTATACTTTATACTTTAATGCCATATATGAATGTGGGGATGAGAAACTCGCTGAAACACCATAATTGAGTATGGGCAGTTCATTATACTGCAGTAAATTAAAAGTGTGAAAAAATATGAAAGATTTTTTTTTTGTTTCGTGTGCTTAGATATTAAGTGGACGGTTGATATCCCACGTGTATGTGGACAGAAATATTTATGAGTAATAATTCAAAAATTAATGATGTCCTGCTATTCCAGTTTTGAGAAATGTGACAGTTTTGAAATATAAATGGTGTCAAAAAAATGTTTTGCAATATTTGAGCTAAAATTATAGACTTTATTGGTGAATTTTAGAGATTTATTTGGCAATAAATATCGCTTGAAAATAGCATCAATTTAAAAAAGACTTAACGGTTTTTTTGAATTCGAAAAACATGAAAATTATATTTTGAAATTTTCAGCGTTTATAAAAGTTTGAAATATTTTTTGTTAAAAAAAATCGTTTAACGAATTTTTTTATTTGAAATTTCAAAATTTTTGGTATTTGTAAAAACGAACATTTTTAATTTAAAATCAATAAACATTTAAATTTCAAAACAACGGTTATTTTAAAAAACTATCTTGTCAAATTTAAATTCTAATCAAGCTAAAACTCTCTTTCACACTTGTAAATTAATTTTATAGAATTATTCTGCTTTTAAAAATAAAAACCTTTTATTATATTTCCATAAAACTTAAAAAGTCTAAAAGAACTAGCTATGGCACAATTTCTCATTCATTTCACAAGATTATTCATCAAACGACTTTGTGCACTTGTGCAATAAAATTCAATTACTCTCCAGTACTTTAAAGAAAACCTTATGACCAGCCATAAAACATGATGCAGTCCCATGCTTACCTCCCTCATAAAAATTGAAATCTATAATGATGTGTTTGCAATTTTATTTTATATATATTTATTTCCAAACCAATATAATGAGCAAACATATTTTTCGTTGGTTTTCATTTCATGTTTTTATTGCACTCATTTTTATGTCTGCCTCAAATGCCAATTCCTACATAATGCTTGTATTAAAAAAATATATGTATTGAAATATAATAAAATACATGATTAGTAGAATGAATTTGTGTATTTCTTTGAGGATGTGGCGCATTAGTTCTAAAAGAATTACAAATCTGATGAAATTTGAATTCCACAAAACCGTTAAAATTTAAATCCTACAAAACCGATATAATTTAAATTCTACAATGCCGTTAATATTTATATTTCACAAAACCCAGAACAAAACCGTTAAAATTTGAATCCTACAAAAGTGTTATAATTTGAATTGCACAAAAACGTTAAAATTTAAATTCTACAAAACCTTAAAAAATTAAATTCTACAAACCCGTTAAAAGTTGTTTGAAACCCTCAAGTTCGACAAACTGACTTCCCAGCTCCAGTTACATCATTCCAAAAAAAAAAAACTGCCAATAAAAAGAACTTTATAAAACATTTCTTTCCTCATTTTATTGTTTCGGTATTTTTTTATGGATTGATTTCTTTGTTTTCTTGAATCATAATTCAGTTGAGCACATAAGGAGGAAGAAAATGAATGAAATGGAAGTGAATGAATATGTGCGCGTAAACGAATCAACCTTATGACTTCCCATTCTTCGAATATAATTCAGTCACAGCGAAAAGAATATGAGAATTATTGCTCTAGATGCTATAATAATAATATAAAAAAAATATTACGATTATTGTGAATGTTTGTACTGTATAGTGTAGTAAAATCATCATCATCATCATTGTTGTTGTTGGTGGTTGTACAATATAATGTTACGAATAAATATTGAGTTATAAAGTCCATATGTATGCACATGATATGAGTTATGTGACAATATTCTACCATGGTCAACCACATGAAACTAATAAAGTAGAATTTATTGAAATTATTATGATAAAACGGAGGATGAGGGAAGGAGTGAGAGTGCATCTGCATTGAAACAATAAATTTGAGGCTCTGTTGTAGATTTCTAGAATGGATCAGGGTTGGGATTTTGGTTATTTTAAATCATTGAAAAGGATTTAACCTAGTTTTGAGGTTAAGTCATGCTTTGAACTTTGGAATTTTGGGATGTTTTGAATATTTGAATCAATTTGTCTCAAAAGTTAAAAAGTTTTGGTTCAATCTTGCTCATTTTTGAGCAAATTGAATTTTGGTGGGAAGTTTTAAATATCTTAGGTTAGAATAAGTTACATTAGATTGGTAGTTGATCGTCGTTAAAGGTTCGAATACTTTAGAGTCTGGAACTTCGAATCCTAAAACTTAGAAATGAACTTACAAGCTTCGTGTTCACTTGATACTTAAAATGAGGTGTATTGCTTCTTAAAGAGCAGAATACCTTTAAATTCGTAACATAGAAACCACCTCTGCATCAGCAAAAACCAACAAAGAATATAATTCACATAAAATTTTAAAAAATATAAAAGAAATTGCTTTATTATTTCAGGCATGAGACCTCTCTTTCCACAGAATGAAAATGATACAATTTGTACTAGAATGGGGGAGAATCAGAAAATGGAGTGAATGTGTAGAGAAATGAAAACAGAATGTTGGGCAAGAGAGATTTGGCTCATTGAGTTCAAGCAAATTATATAAAAAAAGAAATTAATTTATATGCGGAAAGGAGCAGGTTGAGGATTGTTGAGGTTCTTAAATTTCGTTATTTTCATTCTCGGAAATATTTTTCTTTTTGCTTTAATTCAGTTGGGGCAGTTTGATGCAATTAATGTTTTGTGAATGATATAAATAATATGTGAGTATGTTGTCGGGATTTATGATTGAGTTACAGCAATTAAAATAATTTTAAATTGTATTTAGATGATTCTGAGAATTTTTTGACGATTTAGTGGATGCAGATTGGGTTTGAATGCGGTTGTGTTTGTGAAATTGTTCATTACATGTTGTGCAGCTTAAGTATGTCTACTTTTGAGGCCAATTGGGGATATTGTTGAAGATTTTGGGTACGAAAAGGGTGCATTAAATCTGATGGTGTGATTTTTCGGTCCTGTTGCTATGTCCTTTAGATTATGTAGGAAGAACCAGGTCAGATTGCTAAGGATTATTTAAATTATGCTTGTCTCTTACTTTTCATAGACAAAGACAAGCCACATATCCGTTTGATACACTTATATGAGCTAGATCTATGTTTATCACTAAGTGTCAGGCTCCTTTGTTCAAATGTAGTAGCTTTTGCAGTCACCTTTTAAGGCTACTTGAGAAACCCTACACAAAAATCGATAGTTCATTTCCACTTTGGAGTATGGCTTCCAGAAATGCCTTTTAACCTAGCTACTGATGTCGGTTTCTAGATCTACTCGGGTCCCAATTTTATTTTTGCTCCATATTGTAGTTCAGTTTCTACCCAAAAAAAAAACTTTGGATAACCTCAAAAACTGCTTCAACTTTTTAATTTTTGGATTTACGTATCAAAGCTCCATAAAAAAATTTTATGAGTTTTAAGGCAACCATTGTGTCAGAACTAGCATAATTTACCGTTCCTTTGTGGATAGTCTTCAGGTTCGAATCCCAACAATATCTCAAAATAATTCTGAAAAAACACTTCCCTGAATCTTAATTTTAAATTCTCATTAAACAATTCCCGTTGCATATCTCATTAAGAGTCCCAAAACAACTTCCATCCGCATAATTTATTTAATTTTCCTTTTCCGTCTTTCCAAAAATTAAATTGCAATTTTCTTTTCATCTATTGCAGTGGCTTTTGTGACACAGAAAAATATATATTTTCTGCATAATTCCTTTTGTTGTCGCATTCAAACTTTTCTTCATTTATGTCAAAACATTTTTCTAATTCATTTTCCTTTTATTTATCTTTCTTTAAAATTCTGTGTATGTAGGCAAGGAGTGTCATCATCATCAAGATCATCAAAGTGAAATAAGACGACGACGACGTGTGGTGTGAGGAGGAATAAGCAAGAAGTTTTTCAAATTAATGAGGAGCAGAAACAAATTAATTTTCATTTGTGGATTTATGTATGCTTAGATGCTGTTTAAATATTTAAATGATGAAGATGTTGTAAAAGAAATTACCATAAATTAAGGATGTAAAATGTAAAAGTGGAAGTGGCAAAAAAGTAATTGCAACAAAAACGGAACATAAATGTGTGTAAAATCTAGTCAATATTTTGATAAATAAGAGAAGTAACTGGAAGCTGAGAAGAAGTTCTCATGAGAATCATGGGAAAGGACGTGACATCATTTGTATATTATGCTGTTATTTGGATTAATTTATTTTTATGCTCATATGGTAAGTGCTTTGCTTGTTATTATCATAAATATTCTACAGAACTCATAATTTTATTTTATGAGCCACCAAAACATGTTTTATGATCAATAATCTGTTTCATGGCATCATCAACTTTCGGTGACGTTGACATCGAGCGCGAAATGTTCATAAAATTCAGCTTTTTTTTTCAGCCAGCTAATCCCCACTTAAGAGCGGATTTTTCTTTTCTTCTCAGTTGACGACCATAAAAATTATTTTCACATTCTTTTTTTATTTAATTCACCAAATTTTTATTTATACTAGAACGCTTTAGTGCCGCACATCTTGAGAATGTGAAGAGTTTTTTTGACTCATCATCGTTATATTGTCGTAATAAATGATCAAAAAATAGAAAATGATATAAAAAAATGAAGAAATGTAAATAAAAATGAGTAATAATGTTGCGAGATGCAGCTAACGGTTGATGCTTATGAAAAAAGTTTCTATTTTGAATGAATAGAATATTTTCTTAATTTTGTAAGGCATTGTTGGTGTGGAATTCTATTGTGACTTCAATTTTTGGGAGGTCTCTCCTTTAATTTGAGTAAATTTAATTAAAAATGCATTTCAAAAATTTATAACAGTAATTTTATATTCAAATTTCATTTGAAATAAAGTTCAAACATAACTTACGGCTATTCTGGATTTAAATTTCATCATTTGAACTGAACCGAAGTTTAAAAATTCATAACGACAATTTAATATTCAAGTGTTTACACAATTAAGTTCAAAATGATATTAATATAAGTTCAAAACATTACGACGGTTATTTTAGGTTCAAAACTCAAGTTCTTGGTTTCAGAAAGTTCAAAAAATCTCAATTGCAACTGTAAATTGAAAATGCAGTTCAAAAATACCTTGAATTAAGTTCAACAAATTCTAAAGTCTTTTTAATTCAAAAATAAACCACTCATTTCATAATTAAGTTCAAAATCAAATTTCTGAAATAATACCCAAGTTCAAAATGTTCATTAATTCAAAAACTCAAATTCCATCTGAAATAATACTTAAAAGATCCCAAAAATCAAAATTAGTATCAAAAATAGCTTTTATTCAATCACATTCTATTCAGCATAATTTTTTCCCCAAAACTTATTCATTTTTCCTCATATATCGATCGTCGTGTGATCGTGTGACGTAAATTGTCATAAGGATGAATTGCATAAGTTTTCAAAAGTTCCTCACAAAATTGAACCCCACGAACTGAATTTCCAAAATCATCTAACTTCGGACTATAGCAGACAATACCAGCAAGATTAGGAATGATAAGCATGATTATTCCAGACACACCTGATTTAGCTGGAAGTCCTACATTAAATGCAAATTGTCCTGAGTAGTTATACAATCCACACGAATGCATCAATGATAAGACATCACGGCATGTTTCAACTTTAAAGACTTTTTCATCTGTCAATGGACAGACACCTCCATTTGCTAATGTTGCTCCTACAACGCTGAATGTATTTGCTGATGTCACGATTGAACAGAGCTGGAATTAAAGGAACTGAAAGTTAAAAATTGAATCAAATGGAAATAGAAGACATTCTTACCTGGAAGTAGAAGTCAAGAGACTCAAGCATGTTGGTCTTAGCTGGAAACACTTTCTTTTCCTTCATAAAATATCCCAAAGCAAAGTTTCGATCAGCAGCTTCCTTCTCTGAGTGATAAATTGAGTTATCGAACCCAAATCGTTCATTTCCACCAGCACTTTCCATCATTGTCTTAACCATATCAAATTTTTCAGCCATTGAACGTTTCCCATCAATAAGCGTGTAGACAAGAGAAGCAGTTACAATGGCACCAGCATTGATCATTGGATTGTGTGGCTGATTATTGTGATCCAATACCATTTCGTTAAACATTCTTCCTGATGGCTCCTGTCCAACAAATTTGTGGACGACTTCTGGTGAAAGATATTCACAAGCTAGTGCGTATGTCAATGGCTTGCTACAGCTTTGAATTGAAAATCCAACTTCTGTGTCACCAATTGAGAATCGCTGACCATCAACAGTGCAAACTGAAACTCCCCAATGATCAGCAACATTGGCTAATTGAGGGATGTATGATGCGTTACTTCCTGCTGTATTTGACTTGCAATTCCAGTAAATTTCTTCGATAGCTTTAACGAACTTCTCAAAATTTGGAATCACAAATTGACGTTCAGAAAATTTTCTCATGATTCCACAACAAGGAGTAGTTCGCCTTGCAAACGTTTCATAATCCATTTTCTTATCCTTTGGTTCCTTCTCCTTGATCAGCTCTGCAATCTGTGAGATTCTTGGATCATTTTCTTGAATTCCTTGAGCCTTAATGTCTGTCATAAACTTCTTTACTGATCCTGTAGCAACATAGGACTTGTAAATCTCTTGCATTGACTTCTCAGATGACATTTTGAATTTTGATGAATTAATTTTATATAACACGTATGTACACTTTGAATGATGAATGAAAATTGAGGAAAAATTGATTTATTGAGGATTTCAATGGTTGCAGTGTTGAAAATTTCAAGAAATAATTGAAGAAATTTTTAAAGTTTGAATAATTTATGGTTTTTGTAGCAAAGTTTGACATTAAGGAAGCCTCTAAGAAGGTTTTACTGGATCATGGTAAGTTATTTTTAAAGTTTTCAATGACTTCTGTACAAAATTTAAACGAAATTTGATAAAACGAACAAAATTGAATTGAATTGTCAAGTTTTTGATGAATAGTTGATTTAATCCAATTTAATCATGGAAAGGAGGTAGTGTTGACTTGAAAATGGTTTGATTTGCTGGTTTTATCAGGAATCTGATTGTTATTTTCTTTAAAATGATGAGAAATTTATAAAAATATTCAATTCTGGAAATGATGAATATATTTGTCTTAAATCAATGTCTTAAATTCGATTATCGACATTATTTTACTTACGTTTAGTCACTAAAATAAGTCTCACACTCGTCAAAAAGGTTAAAAGACTCAAAAGTATGCATAAAAAATTTTGTTTGAGTCTTTTTCAAAATCATTTATGTTAAATTCAAGAAACAAAGTTTTGTTTGAGTCTTTTAAATATGCCTAAAGCATGGCTATGAAACAATTCAGAATAAACGTCAAAACCCGACTCATGATACAAAACTTTAATATCTTTAACTTAGTAGTGTTTATTAAGCTATAACACACCAATCCAGCAACATTATTTGACAAAATTAAAATTCTTCCAAGAAATTCGCTATTAAAAAATCAAAAACCACAAAAAAAAATCTCTTACCCTTTTCCAGACCCCACAACGAGACATAAATCTCAACAAAGTCAATTTAAATAAATCAGTTAAATTCTGGTTTTTTTAAAAAAAGTTCTGAAAAAAGAAAAATCTTGACAAAAATTGATAACCTTCCCACATATAATAATAAGCCACAAAATTGCTAGTTCCAGAAAAACAAAATTCCGACATAATACTTCCACGTTTGTTCGTCCGAAATATTCAATTATCATGGCCCATAAATCATCATCCATGTAGTCCTCCTATAAATCAAATGTCTCATTTCAAATGAGTTTCAATCCCTTGTTCGTTCATTTTTAAGAATGAAAATAAAAATAATAATAATCCATAAATGAAAAGAAAATTATTTCTTTCCTCTTTTATTCAATAATAATCATCAGCTTTGTATGTTTATGAATTTTAATATGTGAATCATATTTGAATGTTCATTCTCGTGTATACATTTTAATTCGGATGAGATGTAAAAATGAGAATTTTTGAGTATAAATATACACCAACCATAATGCCATTCAAAGAAGAATAAGAAGAAATATTAATATTAATAACATGAAGTGAGGAGGCCCACATATCATATCAAAAATAAATTTTTTTTTCACTCTCAACATTGTGGTGGCTGCATTAAAAACGCGTAAATCATTTTAATAATCATTCAACAGAGAAATTTATCCATTATAGCGTATGATTGCATCAAATTAAGCTGCGCCGGGAATCAACAAAACGAGTTGAATTAAATTATTATATTTATTTGCATGACTTTTGAATGCATGTGATTTGTTATAATAAATGAGTTTAAAGTTTAGTGTCTGTGCGGTTTGGACAGCATTAGAATTTTTTTTAAATTTAAATTTAAATTTCGAAAGTTGGATTTCATTTTTGAAAGTGAAAATTTCAATCACAAAAGTTAGTATTCAATTGCAAAGTGAAGATTTTAACTTTAATTTCGAAAGTGAAATTTTAAATTTCGAAAGTTAAATTTCAAATTCGAAAGGAAAATCTTAAGTTCGAAAATGAAGTTTTTAATTTCAAAACTAAAATTTTAATTTCGAAAGTAAAATTTTAAGTTTGAATATGAAGTTTTTAATTTCAAAAGTAAAATTTAAATTTCGAAAGTTAAATTTCAAATTCGAAAATAAAATCTTAAGTTCGAAAATGAAGTTTTTAATTTCAAAAGTAAAACTTCAATTTTGAAATTAAAATCTTAAGTTTAAATATGAAGTTTTCAATTTCAAAAGTAAAATTTCAATTTCGAAAGTTAAATTTTAAATTCGAAAATAAAATCTCAAGTTCGAAAATGAAGTTTTTAATTTCAAAACTAAAATTTCAATTTCGAAACTAAAATCTTAAGTTTGAATATGAAGTTTTTAATTTCAAAAGTAAAATTTCAATTTCGAAAGTTAAATTTCAAATTCGAAAATAAAATCTTAAGTTCGAAAGTGAAATTTTTAATTTCGAAAGTTAAGTTAAATTTCGAAAAGAAAATTTCAATTTTGAAACTAAAATTTTCAATATCGAAACTGAAAATTTCATTTTCGAAACTGAAAACTTTAATTTTGAAAGTAAAAAATGATTTTTTTATAGATAAAATTTAAAAATTTGTCAAAAAGCGCATCAAACATTCTCACTTAAACCTCAAAATCATTACTTTACGCAACTCTTTTGGCATCCTCTCACACGTCAGATTTTGTCAGCTGTGATTGCACATTAATGCATATTGAGCATTTCTTACACATTTCAGCAGGATTAAAACTCTTTTTACACATCCACTCGTTTACATGATCTTAAGACTCGATTTTATTGTTGTTTGCCTTTTTCATGTCTTTCATTATAAAGCTATTAAATTCATGTTATGCAATAAAATTGTAAGTCTCAGATCGGGAAACCACAATGTGCAGTGTGTCGTATACTCATTGCTCGCAGTCAATCATGAAGTTGCTATTGGCATTAGAAGAAAAATATCGAATTACAAACAGATGTAATATATCCAATTGTTGTTTTGCTATATAAATCACATCGTGCGGTATGAAATGCCTTATAATTATACATGCGTTTAATTTGTAATTGAGAAATGACTCAATGACTTAATGAATGGTCCCTTTTGTAAGAGTAAATGTCTCTATAGATAAGTTATAATTATTCATTACAGCGATGTAAGTGTCTATATATGGAAAAAATTATTGGAATTAATTAGAATAATATTATGGCCATCCCGAGGTGGATATGGGTGGTTTTGAGGTTATGAAATGGGAAATCTTGAAGTTGTACAAAGTTGTACTTGTAAAAAGCAAAACAATCTTAAGCTAACCTACTCAGAGCCACATTTTCATATGAAACTCGGGTTCACAGCTTTCATTTCCATTTTATAGCTTCAAAAAATGTGTGAATTTAATTAGTTCCATGAAAATGACTGTCGAAGATGATCTCAAACATATAAATGCATATGAAACCGCTTAAAAAATCATAAATTAATGAAAAGCAAAATTACAACCATATCAAGCCTGAATGCAACCAAATATAGGCAATAAAAAAATTCACCCAAAAAAAGAGATTAATTTTCAAAAAAATTGTTTATCGCTGACCATATCTGATATATGCTCCCATAAACATATGTGAACATGTGGGCGCATCTGACAAATTTTTAATTTTTTATTTCTTTTATCATCTTTTTATGTTACATTATGCCATACCTACCACACGCCAGGTCTATGCCTTATTTTTTGTGTATTTCTAATAAGAAAAATTTTAATTCTTGATATAAAATTTCTACAACGATGATCGTAAAGACGAAAACGAGATAATCAAGATATAGAATAAAGAGAAATGTTGTGCGCTGCTTTGAGTCGAGTAATTTAAGTTGGGAAGGCAGAAAAAGAAGAGAAAAAAATTAAATTTCTTAATATAATGAAATGACACAGAACGAGAATGCATAAAAGTTTCTTTTTTAAATTAATGCGACGTTTTATATTTCTTATTAAATTTTTTTTTTCATTATCTCTTGCCACAGCATTAAGCATACATAAGATATCTCTCAATTAAGAATTACGTAGAATAAAGCGTGTGTTACTTGGTTGTTGCTTTTTGTAATAAAAATGAGGAGGATAATGTTGCAGAAATGATAATGATGTGAAAACTTCTGAGCGCATCTGTTAATTAATTTATTCGAAGTCTGTCAATTATATTGATTAAATTTAAAATTTGAACCTTCAATGTAGCCAAGACATATTTTATAAAATTAACCAAGACACAATTCACTAATTTTCAAAATGGTGGATAATTTTTCTCTCCACCTCAAAAAGTAATTTCAACTTTTCTCAAAATCAATGAACTTTTAAGAATCAAATAAAAATTAATAACAATCTACAGAATGGCACGAATCAACCACAAAACATTTTGACCTTAAAAAAGACTTCATCTCAAACTCATACTCAAATCAAATTCGTGCCATAACCAAAGTGCAGAAGCATGTCTTCACTACAATGTTAAAACCTCAAGCTTCGTAAATGTAAAAGAAGCAAAATTAACAACGATTCCATTTATATGTAAAGTCTATTGAGGTTTTCATCTACTGAAATAATTGCAACGCCAATGAGTTGGTGGATTTAATTGAAAGTTATGGTAGCTAAATAAGGCTTGGGTATCAACATTACATTTAATTAATTGAGGATAATGAATTGAATCAAGAATTTTTATGGTGAAATTTTCTTTTAAATTTTTCATGTTCCGTTAAAAAAATTAAGCTAATTAAGCCGTTGTAATTTCATCAATTTACTATAAAGTTTTACAATTTTGTTATAAAAATTTACATAAATTAATGAGTTTTATTATCAAATTAATGAATTTAATAAAGTGGATGTTGCTGCTTTCAAGCACGAGTTCCCACTGAAAAAAAAATAAGAAAATTGTCGCTGGTTTATTTTAGATCGGCTATTTTACTAATTGGAATCATAAAAGTATAAACTCATAAAATCTCATTTTTTGCATGAGTAAGATCCAAACATTCTTAATGTAACCCAGATACATCGAAGCTTATAATTTTGTAACAATTTCAAGTAATTGCTGGTAATTTTTTTCTCATTGAATAGTTTGAAGTTTGTTCAATATATTATGGTTATTAACAATCGTTTGAAGCTACAATCC